TACCAGGCACAGAATGCCAAAGTCCACAGAGAATGCACAGGTAAATGAATGCTCACAAATCGAGCAGTGAAACCTACAGTGATGTGACTTCCTCTCCTCCTTCCAGCCCCCTCTCCCCCCAAAAACCTTCCACCTCTCCACCCCTCCCCCACCCCATTCCAACTCAACCAGCCTGCCTCTCCACAAAGAAACCTTCTGGAACATGGCCCCAGAAGTAACTGCATTTTCAAGGAAGCTATAAAGGGAGAGTGATGCTTAAGGAAGAAGTTCTGATGCTGGCTGCACATCAGAATGACCTGGAGACCTTCCTTAGTGGGGCCTAGGCATAGACAATTTAACTTCCAGGAGGGCTGAGAACCACTGAGTAAACCAAAGGAATGGAAACTCCAGCTGTGCAACAGGATGAGACTACTAGAATATTTGGAGGCCTTCCCAGAACTGTCAGACTCCTCACCTGGGCCAGCATTCCCATCCATTTGTCACCTGTTTCCTGCCCAGGTGGGTCAGAGGTGATGGCTGGCTTCATCCCCAGCTTCTCTTCCTGTTTCCTCATTTGACAATTCAATGTTAAGCATGGCGCCTTTAAGACCAGCGAGAGACTCTTTTTAAGCACCTATTAGAGCAGGTCTGGGGAAGGAGGAGCCCTGAACCTTTCCTCGTAAGAGATATAAGCAATGATGAGGACACAGCCCTCTAAGGGGACGTGGAAGATGTGGGGGCGATGGGGGGGTGTCAGGGCAGAAATGAGCTGTCATCAGAGGAGAAGCATGGAAAAAGGCAAGAGGCCAAAACCAGCTTCGACATAAGCTTGGGGAATGGCAAGTACTTTGGTATATCTGAAAAGAGTATGTGGGGGTAGGTAGGGCAGGGGAGACAAACGCCAGATCAGGAGGACCTGGATGCCGAACCACGGAGTGTGTGTTTTCTCCTGGTTGTACTAGGGAAGTACAGCAGAGAAATCAGCTAACCAGATTTTGCATTTTAGAAAGAGCATGCTGACCTCACGGAACAAATGAGAGTCAACAGTGGGATTGACATTTAAGAAATATCACTCGTGCAAAGAATGAAAGAGGGCACCGCTGTGTTACTCCTCTGTGTGTTGGAGAAGTCCTGGGACTGTTTTAGGCTGAGAGCGTGCACCATGTAAAGCTCCGACACCATCGTGCACGTAACCTGTGAAAGTTACGCCTCCACATGGTCCATGGTTAGGTAGCGCGGATCCACAGCCCCCTAACTCAATTAGACAACAACTTTTGAGGCTGACGAGCTTAGAAGGGTTTCTCAAGTGACCAGCAGCTCAGTGCAACAGCAGCCTCCAGGTGTCTTGTTGGGTATGGATGGTCAGTGTAGATAAACCTGGACAAGACCACCCAAGCAGCTCTTCCCCAGAACCCCACTCCACTCCCTCTGTCTTGAGGAAGGAAATCCAATTTCCTTTGGAGTCATCATAATTCACACAGCAGGATCAAAGCATCAAGATTGAGACATTTTTTCTAAGCTATTGTTTAGTGACAGAGTTTTGCTGAAGTTGTAGGTCTAAAACCTGGCCTGGCAGAGCCTGGTTCAAGAGGGCTATGGTGAGGAGACAGCCTGTTTTCTGGGTGCAGAAGGCTCCCTGCCCCCTGGTGGATACTGCAGCCAACTTTCTTCCACCAGGTGCTGATGTCCCACCACAGCCTATGTCCCTTCCTCAGAGCCCACAGAGTGATATGAAGTCATGCACACAGGTGTTTCTGCGAAAAGGAAAAGGAAATGAGGTAAACACCTGGCTGCCCCATTCACAGGCCAACTAAGGAAAGCTGTTTATTTTGAGCCCATCAAACAGAAATGGGACGTGGGAGAGTATGCATCAAATGACCAGCAGGCTCATTCCAGATTTTTAACGCATGAAAGTCTGTGCCAAATGTAAAGAATTATCAGCAAGAGCAGCTAGGAGATAGCCCTATTCTTGTGGCCTTGTTGGGCTTTGTTTGTTTTCATATGCCACTGAGGGGCCCCAATACCAGCAACACCAGCCAATAGTCTCTTGTGATCAACAGAGCATGGTGCTGGAGGAAACCCTTGACAGTCCTATGTCCCACACCATGTGGGCTGAACAGTTCAACCAAAAATATTTTGCTGCACAAGACAACACGTGCTTTCTCCCAAAGTACACAACCTGGCCACAGAACTGACCTTTCACTTGAAAGGCTCATTCAGTGGGATTAACTGCATTGACAAAATTCCTTTCAAAATTATGAAGCAATGCCAACATTTTTTAAAATATCTCCCCTTCCCCTTTTCTTCAAGGTCATCATTCTGGCTATGGTTATTCTCCAGCCAATTTATCTTCCTGCTGTTGCCATAGATAAAACTATTTTTAGAGCATAACTGATTTGGAGGGAGACTTTTGTTTTTTAATTTCACAACCCCTGCTGGTTGGTATTCATAAATGCCTCACGGAGCTTTGTTTATCGAATGACAGAAATTACTCTCACACCTGTTGTTTTTTTTTTTTCCCCCTTGAGAGATGATTTCAGATAAGAAGGAAGTTCACATTGTAGGTGGCAGCCATGGAACAAAGGGTAACTGGTGACAGGCTGGACTGGCCACACCGCCCTGGCAGCTAACTTACAGAACTCCCTGCTCAGCGTCAGCTGTCATCACTTCTGTTTGGCTTGAACATCTAGACCCACACAGCCTGATTTCCCTGCAGCCCCTAATTTGGTAAGCACTTTGAAGGAAACAGAAATGCTATTTTAATGGCTAACATGTTATTGTTCAAGACCATCACTTGTCCAACATCAGAGAGGAAGGAGAGAGAACAATGCAGGCTTTACTGAAAAACTTTCAACTTCAGCATCACATTTCATGATTACTTGTTTGGGCTACCATTTCACTTTCAAGAGATCCAATTCTTGTTTTTCAAAAAATAAGAGCTTTACCTTAAAGTAGGTTTAATATGCTGTTGTTACACATACATGCCAAGTTACACTTTGACTAATGATTTCCCCCTCTTCAGTATCACAATAAGGTGAGTTACATTACAAATTCCTACTCATCGTGCAAGACTAAACTCAAGTATCACCTGCAGAGGGAAAGCCTTCTGCAGAAGCTTTGGGAAGAACCTTTCCTTTTAGCTTCCACCCAACTCTGCCAGCGCTCTACCAGTCCGACCCCCAACAACTATCATTTTGTATCTTATGGTATCTATGGCTACATTTGCGTCTACAGGTAGCATGGACCCAATTCTAAGCCCTGCATCACAGAGAAAGAATTATAAATGTTGTTAAATAAGTTAGCTAATGATGATTAATCAATCATGTGAATCAATTACAGATCACAACTTCCAATCAGGCCCTTCCACACACAGACAGTACCTGTGACATTTGTAAATCATGATCAGAGTTGATAATTATAAAGGGAAACTTAGAACCTTTAGATTCATCTTTCAGAACAAATATCAGTGTGCTCAGAATGGCCCCCATATGGTCCAAATCAGAGCCCTGAGCCCTCCAGTCCAAAGTATTGCTGTCATCCTATTCAAAGGGCAAAGCCTTCTGAATAGTTTGTCCACTATGCCAGAAACCAAAGCACTAAAAGCTAAAGAAATACTCAAAAGTAAGTATTTGAAAAGAAAAATCTTCAGAAAGGTTATCTAGTAAACTAGTCACATTGCATTCACCCACAATATCATTCTAGTCACCCAACCAGCCCCACCGCTGGAGTGGGATTTAGAGAATTTCAGGCACTCTGGTACCACACATTACCACACATGTAATTCTTTCTCAATTACAATTGCATTCAACTGAGAATGATTTCTTAGAAAAAAAGGCAAATGTCCATCTTAGAGTGAGACTGGGACTGTGGTTAGAAACACACTTACATCTAACGAGGACCTTCCTTTTTCAAGCTAATGACCAGACAACCAGGGTTCTGTGACCCTTGAGTCTGGTACACACATAAGCACACACACACACACACACACACACACACACACACACACCCCAGAATCCATCACTTGGCCCACACCCAAGTGAAATACAATGCCTTTCTTCTAGAGCTAAAGAAAGATGGCATGTCAAGGCATTGACCAGTCATTTGCTGACATCTGTAAAAGCAAACAAGTCTACAAGACTAGAAAACAGACAGGAGCACCAAAAGGGGCTTTGGCTTGGCCTTAACCAGCTGGATAGTTAAGCCTTGCAGAAACTTGATTAGAGAAGTCTCAGCCACCAAAAAGAGCCACCAAATGATAAGTACTGAATATCATGACGAATGAATGAACTAAAAACCCACAACCCCAGGGACTGGCAGTGTGCTCTGGGATACTGATCTTGGAAGAGACATTGAAAGAAGATGCAGCCTGCGTGTACCCAGCACTTCCTCCACAGAGCATCTGGAGAGGTGAGAACAGATGCTGAGAAACAGGTGCTTCCAAAAAGGAATCTCCCTGGAGATGGTGCCCAGGGCTTCCAGGGCAGACCCAGCTGCCATGGTACTTATATTTAAACCAGAAAGAGAAAAGTGGTTTGCATAAACCCCGTTCCCACACAACTGGGCTCCTGGGTGACCAGCTGCTGATCTCGACTCTTAAGGAGAAGCCTGCCTTGGCTAAGTTCACTTTAGCGTTAGTTATTCTATCATCTGCGAACACAAGTGACTCTTTCAATCGCTGGAAGAAGGAAAGTTTGTGTGTTAAAGACATACATTATCTTCGAGTCTGAAGATAGGGACACTGCAAAAGTGTCTCCCTTCCTTTTCCAACTGGTGCCATCAATAAACTTGGCTTAACAGAGGAGGTTGGGAGGAGAGGAAATCTCAGGGGATTCCAGAAAATCCCCCAGGCCCTCCAGCCGGTGTGCAGGAAAGTCACTGTCTCGCGGAGCTGAGCCAGGATCCGAAAACTGAGCCCAAGGTTGGGGGGATGGGGGAGTTAGTGTCAGGGGCCAGAAACCGTTTCCTATGCGTCCCCATCCCAAACCCCCGTAGCTGAGCGGCTCCCGCCCCAAGCTACTCACCCTCCGGTTGGGCGCCCCGGGCTTCCTAGCACCGCTGCCCGAAAGCAGGGTGACGGTGGACGTGGAGCGCAGCATCCCGCGGCGGCTGTGGGCAGCGGGCTCGTGTCTGCGCTGCTCCGGGGCAGAATAAGCGCGCGGGGTCCGCCCTGCGTGGGGGCTGCGCGGGCCGGTGAGACTGGCTGCTGCAAGGCGGGCGCCCGAGGGGCCGGGCCAGCGGGGCGGGGCGGGGGCGGGGCAGGACCCGGGGGCGGAGTCGGGGGGCGGGGCCCGAGTGAGCCCGTCCGACCCGTCTGGCTGCATTTTCTCCCCCAGGGCGCAGGCTGCGCTGGAGCTGAGCGCGGTTCTCTCCCTAGGGCGCTGAGCCCTTTTGGGATCCGTGCCCGGGGCCAGAAGGAGCCCTCAACCCACTAGCCTCCCAGGCGTCCTCTGTTGACTGCCACCTGCCTTTCCAGCCTCATGGCCCACCCCAGGACACTTAGCCACACCCCTGGAATCCGAAACTTCAGCCCCCACCCCCCCATCATTCACTCAGTATTTATTGAGTGCCCACCATGTATCAGTCCCAGCGGCCACCACAATTGACTGAACCTGTCCTCATGGAGTTTGCAGTCTGGTAAAGTCACCCCAAAATGACAGCTGTCAGTGCTCTGTTTTAAGAGGAGACACACAGAGCGCACGCAATGTGGTCGTAGGAGTTACCCAGTGTAGGAAAACTCCCAGTGGAGTTAATGACTAAGTTCAGACCCGAATACAAGTGGACAAACAGGCGTACAGTGTTCATCACAACTGCTCATATTTACTCAATGATTACTGTGATCAGGTTGGCCAGCACTTTGCATGTATCACCTCACTTCATCCTCATTATTGCAGACATTATTATTATCCCCATTTTGCAGACAAAAACATTGACTCACCAAGAAATAGAGCCGCACAGCAGGGACACCACTGATTGGTAAGTGTCAAAGCTAGGATGGAACCTACACTCTGACCTAGGAAGCAAGGAAAGTAAGGAAAAGCAACTTGCTTTTCCACCCTGCTACTCCCCCAACCCCTCACCCAATAGAGAGAGGAGAAAGTTCCAAGCCAAAAGAACTGGCAAATCAAAGTTGGGAGAAAGGCAAAAGATGGTATGGTGTATATTTTAGAAACTGAAAATATCACAGTGCCAGGTGTCAATGGAGGATTTGCCCTCCTTTGGAGGAGCAGGATTTTGAGCCAGCTCATGAAGAACCTGGTGGGCTTAGTTATAAAGTTTGGATAAAGTATCCTAAGGATAAAGTGTTTTCAACAGGAAAAGACAATCTTTTCCTCCTCACCCTTTAAAGCCTAGGTTCAACATAATCTTGCCACCAAGCTCTCCAGGATCCCCCTACCCTAACTGCTTATGCTCATAACAGCTCTTTGGGAGCCTGTTTTCTGCTAGTCATCTATGTCTGTGTGTGTCTCCTTCCCCAATAGTGAGCTTCTGCAGTTTCTTCTCTCAACCCCCCAGTGTGGCATCAGCACAGAAAATGCTCAAGGAATGTTGTTGAACAGATTTGCAAATGATCCTGTGAAACCTGCTCCTTCTGCAGATGAGGAAACTGAGGCCAATGTAAATAATTGACTTTTCCAAAGTCTCACACCCTTTTCATTACCATCTCTATCATCACCAGCATCATCACCTCAGCGGTGCCTGAATTCTAAGCCCTTTATATGCATCTTCTCATCAAATCCTCACCATGGCCAACAAAGTGGGTTTTGTTATCATCTGCATTTTGCAAATCAGAAAACTGAGGCCCAGAGACAGGTTAATAGCTGGAACTAAACCTTCAGTCTTCTAACTCGAGGTTTACGGCATTTTTAGTACACTTTCCACACCCTCCTGTCCATCAACCCTTTAAAAAAGAGATCATTCCTGAGCAGTCTCCTCCCTTCCCACTTCCACACAGTGCTCTACTTGGATGAGTTTTGTAAGACTAAAAGCTGTGACCACCTTTAAATAAAAGTAATCAAAATGTGACCATTGAAAGTCAACATTAGTTAGAGATAACACATGGTTATCTCAACAGAAAGAGATAATGACTATTATTGTTTTGTTTCATTGCCAAGAAGAGAAAGGAAATGGGCTGCTGTTCAGACAGAGTCAAAACAAACTGGCATCATCTGTGTTTATTTATATTATGGCAACCACCCAAGTGACCACCCAAAATAAAGTCAACATTTGAGAGAAGGTAGTCCATGGATTCATTTCTCCTCTATCTACCCGAATCTTTTTCATATTGCCAATTTAATACTTCTCACACTTTTTATGATTCATGACAAAGGCAGCAATTTGCATACCAACTTGTGAGCCCTTTGTAGGAACTGGATCTTGTTTACAAGACTGCCTGCCCAGTACCTGATACGGTCATTGACATATTGTAAGTGCAAAGTAAATGTTGAATGGGTGCAGAAATGATATTACAAAGTAATTGACTTGTTGCAAGTGCAAGTAAATGTTGAATGAATGAAGAAATGATATTACTGGGCAATATTTCAACATACTCTTGGTCAAGCAAAACAGAAACTAAAATCCTTGCCAAATGAGCTTTTAGGGTGGGCTAGGTCTCCGAGCAGTTTGCCAGCTGAAGCAGTCAGAATCCCCCAAAAGTCCCAACCGGTAAGGACTGTGGGTGGTGTGCTAGGGCAGGTGTCAGACTCCAGCTTATGCCCTAGCTTCTCTTGCCGGGTCAACACATAAGGAACTTTAAGAAAGAAGAGAGTGAAGAGCCCCTGGAAAGCGGGAAAGGAGCAGATGCAAGGACATGGGAAGGCAAGAGGGGTTGAGAAATTAACGGAAGGATGAATTTGGAATAGAAAGGAGAAAGCATACATTGTACAAAAAATGAAGAATGATGTAAAAAATATATAAAAAAAAAAAGTAAAAAAATGAAGTCAGTCACAGATTTCTTTGAAGAGTTCTGGGAGAAGGAGATTTTAAAAAGGGATTGACTCTTTTCAAAAGAGAAATCAAACACTGAGCTTTTCTGCTCAGCCAGGAGTCTTCCTTGGTCTGAGCACTTGAGAGTTGGAAGAGGGCAGATGTGAAAGGGACAGGGATAGGGTTCTGGTGTGGACCGTAATGCTATTCCTTTTCAAGGTTGCTATTCTAGGCTGTTCTTAGGCATTGGTGATGGAGCAGTATCACTGTTTGGGCTGGAGGGAAGCAGGAGTTGTGACATCACTGTCTCATTTGTGATTCTTTCTTATCTATAGTAATGGCGACATATTCCTGAGAGCTGTGCTACATTTCTCTGCTGAAGGACAGATGAGTAGAAAAGTCTAATATCTGTGTAAATGCCTTTTATTTTCTTGAAATCAATCAGTTATTTGTACTTCCTTCTACCATCCCATCTTTTAGACTTCCCTCTCAGATTCTCCCAACTTCTGCTTTCTGAATTTTCCTTTTTGGTCTCTGTTGAACCCTCTCCAAATTCTCTATCAGCATCTGCTATGGAGAGATTTATGGTGGGATCCATTTCCCCAGCAAAGTCCTGAGAAGCAGGGACTATCATTACTTCTTGGCAGAAACAATCAAGAATTGAATCACTGGTCAAGGACACAGGGTCATTGAGCCCACCTAATGCCAAGCTTCCTGGTGTTCCATGCCCACCTCATTCTTAGATCTATGAAGCATTCCTTTTCCCCCTCCTCCTGACATATTCTCCCAAACTTTTGCAGTAGACAGAGGATGCATTTCCCACCCAAGGGCAAGGGTATTGAATTACAAAGCCCCTATGGATAAGGTAGATGGAGAAATACACTGATCCTGAAGGAGGAGGCATGAAAGATAAAGACATTCTGGGCTGAGGGGCCACAACTGAGGTCAGAAGATCTGGAAAATGTATGTTAGCCAGTTAAACTTGAACTTCACAGGTTGCCTGAGAAGCACAGAACAGGGTCTAAAGATAAGGAAAACATACTAAAAGGAACCCATGCACAAGTCAAATCACCCACATACATACACAGAATTGATAAGCCTGTCTAGACAGAGGGGGTGGCACATACTGCTGGCACACTCTAGGGGATACAAGCTCATTGAAGATAATCCGGCGTGTACCAGCTAATCCATGAACAAATGAGCAACTGGTAGAGTAATAGCAAGTTAGTTCGTTAAACAAATACCTACCAAGCACCCACCATGTGCCAGGCACTGGGGCACGGAGATGAGTAAGACAGCCCTTGCTTTCTAAGAGTTCACAATCAATTTGGGCAGAGAGACGTGTACTTAGTCATAGCATTGACACAGCACTTGCTGTATTCAAAGGGCTTAATATGTATCAACTTATTTAACCTTCCCGGCAACTCAATAAGGAAGATTCTATTATTTCCCTGTTTTGCAGATGAGGAAATCAAAACACAGAGAGATGAAGTGACTTGCCCATGTTCCCAGTGCCAGTAAGTGGCAGAGCTAAACTTCAGTCTCAGGCAAGATGGCTCTCGTGTCTGTGTACTTATAGTTGATCTCCTACACTGGGACAGGAGTCAGACTTGAAGCATGACCAAGCGCTTTGGTGGGAAGAAGAAAAGAGAATCTGAGCTACTGTTGTAGCAGAGAGCAAGTCTTGGGAAGACAGCATGGAACTGACCCTGAAGGATGAGGAACAAAAGATAAAGACATTCTGGACTGAGAGGCCAAAACTGAGGTCAGAAAAATGTATGTTAGCCAGTTAAACTTGAACTTCAGGGCAGGAGGGAATAGCCAAAAGCAAAGTCGAGTGGGGTTAGATTGCAGGGGGCCTTGAATAAAGTTGAGAATGGACCTGCAGGTGCTAGGGAGCTACTGAAGGTTTGAGAGCAGGGCAGTGACATGATCAGAGAGGGGAGTACAGATGGAAAGCAGAGACTGCAGGAAGACTAGTTTGGGGTCTACTGAAATGGCATTATATGAGCTTAAAAAGCTCTTGAACTAGGGCAGTCAAGTGGAGCTGTAAAGGAGAGGGAAAGATGCATTCCAACAGCAGAAAACATAACTTAGTGACCAACTGAAAGTTGAAGGATTTATATGAATTGTAGGTCACCTTAGTCAGTAGTCAACTGGTACCTCTATACTTTCTGAGGGGAGGAGTCAAGATGGATGGAGTGAAGGACAAGTGATCTCTTTATCTTGCATTAAGCACAGGGGCACATCTTGGAGCCCCCGAGGGCATGCTTTTG